TAATATTATACCAACATATTCGAAATAATCAATTATCGCTCTTCCAACTACTTATCAACATTCGCGGAAAGCACAATTTTCGAGCAATAAAAAAAAAACAATATTTTATTTATTTTTGAGCATATCTCCTCTTCCGGTTTTTATATTTTCTGGATTTTCTTATTCCCTGAGCCTCTACTTATGCCCGGTCATAGTTATCGAAATTGACTATTCTTTCCTACGATGATTTTCTCCAACAATTTCTTATATAAGGTCGTAGATAATGTTCTCTCCATTCACGGAAAATATCGTCCCTTTTCAATTCTCCCAAAAAAAAGACATCTTGTCCAATTAAAATGTCGATTTCTAAAATATAATAATCTACACTCTTCAAAGATGATATAATATTATGCCAACATATTCGAAATAATCAATTATCGCTCTTCCAACTACATATCAACATTCGCTGAAAGCACTATTGAGGGAGGCTTGTCCTATCAAAACTTTCTTTTTCAAATAGTAGAAGCGCTTAACTTCTTTTGTGTAACGAATAGTTCTAAGACAACCTTAAGATTTCCCTATTTTGCGGCCGTAGAAAAATTTCCTTAAGTTTGAATTCTTTTTACATCTCCACACCCTAAAGATTTCCCCGACAAAGTTTAATTTTTTTTTTTGCATTTCTTGGTTTACCAGTATTTTCGATTATTTTTTTTATTTGCCAATGCATCTAATTTATTATTATTTTAAATTTACCAACCCTCCTAATTTCGATTGTTCATAATCTTTCTTTTTTCTTTCAATTTTTGATTTTTTCTTTCCCCCTTTTTTCTTGTTTATACCCCCCCCCCCCTTTTTTTTTTGTTCGTAATAATACTTTTTATACTTTATGTACCTAATCTTATTTTATAAATATTATTGTTTATATTATTATTTTTTTTTCAAATTTACCAACCCCTCTAATCTCGATAATACTTCTGAAAGGATAGATCAGGTATTCCTCTCTTCCCAATTTTGATTTTTTTTTTCCCCATTTCATCTTTTTTTTTTTCTTCCAATCAAAATTATATCCGTTAATATATATATTTTTTTTGTGTTTTCTCCCTTTCAAAGCCATCTCATGGTTAACTCTTGTTGTCAAGTATGCTTAAAAATAGTTTCGCTTAATTTAAATGGCGTGTTTAGGAAACATGGTTCACCCGCGTGCCACAATTCTGGAAAATTTCCCCTCTCTTACGGCCCAGATCCTTTAATTAACGCTCCTCACTCGTATGACCCCATTCCACCATGTTCCTCAAGCTCTGTTGATTTATTCCTTAATTCGCATAAGCCCCCTGTTCTTTCTAGGATCCCTATAGCCGCCCGAGAGTCTATCTCTAGGTTCCTCATGTCACTTATAAATAATTTGAATTCGGATTTCTCCTCACTACCCTTATGGTTAGACCTGGTTAGTTTTTGTTTTCGAGTCCTAGTTAAACCCAAAAATAAAATAAATAACTTATCTGCCTTAATTAAGGAAAAAGTTTCCAATTTTGGAAATACAATTATCGATGAATTTTCTCCTTCGTACCCTTTAAACCCCAACTCCTTCCGTCACAAATTGATCTCCGAAAAATTAGATCTTGGAGATATTAGCGGTGCGGCCCGAATATTGTCTTCCGATGACTCTATTTCACCTATCAACGTTACCATATTTAAACAACTTCTTGAAAAACATCCACGAGCGTCCCCTTTTAACATCCACCCGCATGCCTCCTCCCCTATTCCCTTTACCTGTGACGAAGTACTTAAGTGCTTAAAGTCCTTTAAAAAAGGGACGACAGGGGGGTTGGACGGCTTCAGACCTGGTTTCTTTGTGGAGTTAATTCAATGCCCTGATAGTGGCTTCATTGACCCTTTGTTGAAAGCATTAACCGAACTGTGCAATAATATCCTCGTACGCGAAGTTCCCCTTTGCATTCGTCCTATTATTTTTGGCGCCCGTCTTGTCTCCTTGACCAAACCGGATGGCGGCGTTAGACCCATAGCCATAGGGTCATTCTTTCGTCGCTTAGTCGCCAAGGCTATCGTAAATAGGATTCGGCCTAAGGCTAGTTCCTTCTTATTTCCTTCACAGTTAGGATTTGGAGTGAGAGGTGGGTGTGAAGTGGCCTCACATGTTGCTCGTATTTTTATAAATACTGAGGCCGATAAGGTTTTCTGCAAGTTAGACTTCAGAAATGCCTTCAACACCATCCATAGGAGGGCATTCTTACCATCTTTTTTACACCATTTCCCAAAATATGGGAATTTCCTTAATTCCTGTTATGGATTCCCTTCGTTACTCAAATTCGGGGAATTTTCCATATCCTCCGAAGAGGGGATACAGCAAGGTGATCCTCTAGGCCCCCTGCTCTTTACTATAGGGATTCATGATTTGATCAAAAATTTAAAGACTAATTTCCAATTAGACCTTAATTTATGGTATCTCGACGATGGCTCTTTTGGCGGTTCTTTATCCAATGTTATGTCGGCCATAGAGTACGTTGAAATGGAAGCTTCGAAAATTGGTCTTTCCCTAAATAGGAAAAAGTGTGAAATTTCCTCCCTCAACAATAAGGATTTTATTCCTCCCTTAGATTTTACAATCATTCCGCACGAGGAACTCTGTCTTTTAGGTTCCCCTATTGGTTTTTCAACCTCCTTTTGTCAAAAAACTTTTGACGATTTGATCCATTCCCTTTCCAATTCACTCAAGAATCTTCCTCATCTCCCCAAGCATCAGTTCTTCTTTCTCACCAAAAAATGTCTTTTTCTACCTAAATTCTTACATTTATTTAAATCTTCCCCCGTTTTCCAGTACAATACTCTCCTTAAGGTCTTCGAATTAAAATTTAAACATTTTATCGAATCCCTTTTAGGCTTAAATTTTTCCGATTTCAATTGGTCCCTCGCCTCTATGCCCGCTTACCAGGGTGGACTGGGATTGTTACCCCCCTTCCTTATGGCAATTGCGTGTTTTCTTTCATCTCGAATATCCTTCGCCGATTCTATTTCCTCGCTTATCGAGTTGGACGATCCCCTTCTATCTTCAGCTAAACAAGAGTGGCTTACTCTAATCACCCAAGGCTCCGAGCAGCCAATTTCCTGCCATCTAAAGAGCTTCCTGGTCCCTATGCTTCAATGCTCGTTTAAAAAACTTTGTATGTATCCTGAGCTAACTAACCTTCAACTGCTCAGAAACGCAAAAAAAACTCTAACGGCCATGAATGGCTAGACGCGATTCCGAGTGGTAAAAAGGAAACGTTACTCACAGACGATGAGTTTCAAACTGCCATTGGCCATAGGCTTGGTTGCCTTATCCCTTCTGTGGACACCTGTGCCGCCTGTCACAAACAGGTTGATCCTTTCTCTAGACATTGTTTCTCGTGCCTCAAAGTCAGTGGCCGTTTCCTGAGGCACGACAACCTTAATAGGTTAATCGGCAAAGCCTTGATTTCGGCCGGTTTCCCCAATAGCTTGGAGCCATTAGGTCTCCTAAATGCTGACGGTAAGCGCCCTGACGGCATGTCTTTAACGTCTAGGCACGGCGGCAAAAGACTTGTCTGGGACGTCTCTTGTGTTACCTCCTTTCCGGCTAACGGAAATACCGACCCCTTGGAACTACAAGAAACCAATAAGTTTAATAAATATAGATTCCTCCCTAACTCTTTTATATTTATTCCCCTAATTTTTAGCGTCCTTGGAAACCCCGGTCCCCAATCCCTAAAGTTCTTAAATCAATTGGGTAGAAGAATTTCGTTAAGGACAGGGGTCAAAAACGAGTCCCTATCTCTTAAACAAAAAGTCCAATTTGAAATCCTAAAGGGGAACTACAAATGTTTCTTCGAAACACTCCCATTTCCCTCCTAGTTTATCAAATATAGTCATTGTTAATTTTATATATATTTTGCATCGCAACTATATTTAGATTTTAACCACAAAAAAAAATTTTTTTTTCGTTATAATTAAACATTTATGTTTTAATATATATATATTTTTTTTTCCGAGTATGTACTATATTTCTTTGAGATAGTTATTAACTAAAGATTTATAAAATGTGATATAAATATTTTTTATAAAATATATTTCGGAATTTGTAATTATATTTTATCTATATGTAATAAGTTAAATTTTTGAAAAATAATATAAAAATATTTTTTTCAAAATATAATAATATAAATAAAAAATATTAAATCATATCATGTTTATTTGTTGATAATAATAAAATATTTACATTAAATATAAATAAAATAAATTATTTTACTAAAATAAATAAATAATAATTAATGCTAAGCATCGATGCAGAATTTTGACTAATTTATTTTAGCCAATTTTTAGGCTTAGCCGATTTTTAGGCTTAGCCAATTTTTAGGCTTAGCCGATTTTTAGGCTTAGCCAATTTTAGGCTTAGCCGATTTTTAGGCTTAGCCTAATTAGGCTTAGCCGATTTTTAGGCTATACCTAATTAGGCTTAGCCGATTTTTCCACCTAAAATCTCGGCTAAGCCGTTTTTAGTCGGCTAAAATTAGCCGATTACGCAACACTAGGTTGGACTCAATTTGGAAAATCTAACAATATCATCTTAGATAAAATCTCAATCGAGCCGTTTTTAAAAATCGACCGGAATCGGGCACCTTAGCCTGGACTAAGGCTATAAATTATATTTGCCACAAAGAGTTTAAAAATCTGCTATAAGTGAATAGCAAAATATTTCATAAATATTTTCATATATTTTTTTAGATAAATGAAATAAAATAAAATAAATACTTGTTTTAAGTTTAATATTTATTTCCTAATTTCATTTATAAAAAGGCTAGTGACGGTCAGGACCTAGGTCTAGTTTTTTTTTTTACCACCGAATAGAGTTAGGCTCGAAACAAATAAACTTTATTTTGCAGAGGCTCGATACCGATAGCAATTATCGAAGCATATTTCATATATATTTTTTTTCTAAAATCTTTATCTGTTATTATTACACTAAATTTTAACTTTTTAAAATTAAGAAATAAGCGGATTACCTGGCATAGGAAAAACACAGATGTCACTCCAATTGTGTATTAATAATTTTTTGACTCAGGATATCAAATATAAAAATGTATTATCCTCTAACATCGCTCTTTATCATGAATCAATATTTGTTGACACAGAAGGAACCTTTATACCTCAGAGAATAAAGGAGATGATTATGGCAACACCTCAATTCGCCCTCGATTACAAAATTTATATTGATAAATTAACAACCTTGGAACCTTCAACCCATATTAAAACCCAAACTAGTTCTAACATTGATGGAAATTCTTCTCCCGTTTTTAATAAGAAACTTACCACGCAAGTCAACATTATCCGTGATGAGGTTTCAAAATCTAAATCGAGCAAAGAAGAATATTGTGAAAAGATCATGAGTCAGAGACTTCATTATTTTCGTTGTACTGATGTGACCCAATTAATAGCTCTGTGCATCCATTTAACGTTTGAATACTTGATCAGGCACCCTCTAGTAACATTAATAGTTATCGATAGTGTAGCCTTTCCACTTAAGGGCCATATCGACAAATTATCGCACTTCGTTCGTAACAGTCACAGAAGAAAATTGGTGGATGCTCTATCTTATCATTTTAGAAATCTCGTTTCTCTAAATTTGCAGCATGGGGAACAAGACGATAGTGAAGAATCAAATTCAGATTCTAATGATGATTTTGAAAGCTCGGAAGTTAGTACCGACAGGACCCCAGAACTTTTTAAACATGAAATCACCTCCTTACACCCTCCTAATAAACGTAAATTAGTCGAAGAAAAAATTATTAAAACATACAATTCTATCCCTGGCTCCGAAATCTCTTTCGAAAAAAATCTTAAATATCCGAAGGCGAATAACAATATAGCTTTGGTTCTAACTAATCACTGCGTTTTAAATAATTACTATAAAAATTCTCAGGAAATTTCTTCCTCGTCCGACAATCACTTTAAATCTTTTTGGGATGATATTTGGGGCGATATCTTTCATTTAAGGTTGTCCGCTTATTGGTGGGATAACGTGAGGCGAATAAAAATAGTTGATTCTTCTTATATAATCCGCCCGAATTTTTATGAGACCATTTATGATATAGGCCCTAGCGGCATAATTGATTGTGATAAATAAGATATGGATTGAAATTTAGTCAGGCATATTGATTATTGAATAATTTGAATAATAATCGTAATGTAAGACGACAAAAAAAAATTATGTAATTTTCTTCTTTTTTTAAACGTAAATATATTTACGGTTTAGCCATGAAGCGATAAATTTAGTATAATTAATAGATATATTTAAGTTATTTGTTCGAAGTGATGCAACATGTAAAAGGATATTGCAATAAATCCCCAGATTTTGAAATACTTTTAGAATTCTTTCATGAAATATCGAAAGACCCTTATATATTTAAACGTTATTCGATCGGGACATCACCGTGTTCTCATTGTTTACACAAGTTATTAAAAGCGTTCATCGAGGAGTTTGATCAAAATCGCATCTCCTTGCGACAAATGTGCTATTTAGAAAAAGAACTGTGCCAATTTAAGGATCAAATCAGTGGTTTAACTCAAAAAATCGACGCATTTATTGTTGAAAATAAAAATTTGGCTTGTCGGAATGATACCCTGACGAAATCCAAAGCCATGATGGAAAAAATGTGTGCTAGAGTTGTAGCGCAGCTTCAAAAGTTTGTCATCTCTCAGGTTGATGATTCTTCCGATTCAAAGGTTGAACTTAAATTTAGGGTTAAAAAATTAATGCGCGCGATCATCGAGATACCCGTCGATGAGATGGACGAAAGTGAAATAATTCTAATTTGGGAAAAACTAGTTTCTACCTTGATTAACGAAGCTAAAAGTCAAGCGGTTAATCATCAGGACAAAATTTTTCAATTGTGCAATCATATCAAAAACCTGAGCCACGATTTGGATACCACAAAGGATAAATTATCCGAAACTACAAAAGTAATCGACGCTACTGTTAACGAACGAATACAATTATTGATCGACAAAACGCTGACTTATTCCAAAAATGTTATCTTACTCGGCCATGAGAACGAAAGCTTTAAAAGAAAAAATGGTTCGCTAATTCAGGAAATATCTCGGCTTCACGAACAAATTAACTTACTTGAGATAGAAAATAAATATAAAGAAACTCTTTTGAATCAAGCTAAGTGGGACATCCATTCATTGAAAGGGAATTTAGTTGAAATGAGTAAAGAAAAAATGGATTATAATAAAAATATAGAAAATGGGAAAAAAATGGTGAAAGATCTTATCACAGACATATCCAACATCGTTGCACAAACGGCATCTTATCTGAACGCTAAATTTAACCATTTGCAAACTGTTTCGACTGAATTAACGCTCAAACAAACTAGGTTAGATAAGTTCATAAATCAAATGAATCTCATTTTAACGACATTATCCGCCAACAACTTGGGTAAATATGATCTTAAGAATAATGTTAAAAACGTGAACGAGCTCAAAAAAAAAGCTATAAACGGAAATGACTTAGTATTTTACCGGAAAAAATATTACAATCTAAACCAGCGCAATTGTAGAAACCTGCCTCTAATGGAAGTGAAATGCATCGATGTGTGGTCAAAATATTTGGGTAAAACGTTTTATTTCAAATATATGCGAAAATTGTCTCTTACACCACCGATAGAGAACTATAGTAGAAGCAGCTTTTTATCGCGAGATATAACTGAGTTAAAAATTTTATTGACTCGAATTTTGATGATTATATTATTTAATGATGATAAAATTAATGATTTTTTGGCAAAATTTGTTTCATGAAGTATATAATTGTTTTTTATGAAGCATTTTGTTAGTCATAACTATTTTTAAAAAAAACATTTTATTTATATAATTGTATTTTATAAAGCATTTTGTTTCAATTTTTAACTATTTAAAAAAATATATTTTTTATTTGGAATTCTTATTTGTAAATTTTATAAAAGGTTTATTTTATAAGAAAAAATTATATAAAATTATAATGTATAATTTATTATTATGTTTTATGAAAAAAACAATAAAATTAGCTTCATGTGATTTATTTATTAATTAGAGATGTTATGTCTGTCATTTATAAATATAAGAAATTTTCTACGAGCTTTTAATTTTTTGAAATAATTATGTGAACAAATGCTTATTTTTGTCTTTTTTGAAAAGCCGACCCTACCCTAGGACACTAATATCTTGAATGCTATGCTTCCGCTAACTTTTAACTGGACGCGTCTCGTTTATGAAGGGCGCGCACCATCGCTAATTATAGTTTAATTGATGAATAAAACGAAACTAATTAAAAATGCTTCCAAGATCGATAAAATACAGTATTTTGATTGGTTAACTTTAGGTTTATTTGATTGGATTACATTGTGTGAATCTATTTAATTGGATTATTTTTTTATAATGTATTCCCTTTTATCCAAGAAAGATCCACCTAATTATTTTATAAAATATAAAGGAGTATGAGAAGGGAGAGTTAATATTTATTCTATAAGGGTAAATATGGTTATAAAAAGTGCTAACTTTAAAATATTAAACATGATTCTGCATTCAATTTTTAAAAATAGCGTATATTTATCAAGAACAAGTAGGGCTTTGTCGGGGATGCCTTTTCTAGTCATCTAAAAAGTGTTTTTTTTATTATTTTACTAATTTTAGTTTAAACACGATTTTTTAAAATTTAAGTCTTTTTAATGGGTAGGGTAGGAGCTAGTGATCTACATCGGGCCTAATTTTCAAGGCCGGCCCGAAATTTTTTTTAAAAAAGTTTTGCTGGCCCGGCCCGACCTAAAATTTTTTTAGAAAGGTTTTGCCGGCCCGAACCCGAAATTTTTTTTTTATAAATTTACCCACCTGGCCCGGCCCGAATTTATTTAAATATAGAAATTAATTTTTATAATTACTCAAAATAAAAAACATATGTTATATGTCGTTTAATTTCAATAAATAAAATCAAATATTTTTATTTTACATAAAATTGATAAATTTAGATATATTTAAAAAAAATTCCAAGGTCCGACCCAACCAGGCCCGAATTTTTTTTAAAAATATTAGGCCCGGCTCGAACCCGATTAGTAAATAGAATTGAGCCTGGCCCGAACTAACTTTGCAGATCTCTAGTAGAAGCACGTAGTTTAGTCAGAATATTTTTTTAAAAAAAATGAATACTATCATTTTCTGAATCTCCTCAAAGTGCTAAACATGATTCTGCATTGGATCGAGAATGCTTAGGGATTTGTCGGGGATACATATTTCAGTCATTCAAAGTGTTTTTTTTATATTTTACTAATTTACCAGTTAATTTTAAATTTGAAAATAACATTTTCTTTATCTCAATAAGCTAAACACGATTTTATAATTATTTATTTAAGTCTTAGAGCGCGTAGTTTAGTTATAAAATTGCGCATTTAAAATTATTTAAAAAAATGAATACTATCATTTTCCGAATCTCCACGAAGTGCTAAACATGATTCTATATTTATATTTTTAAATTAGATATTTTTTAATAGGGGTCACACAGGGATCTTTTTTCAAAAGCCCACTAAGTTATGAAAAAATTTATATTAAGGTTTTTGAATCGTTTTAATGAGCTAAATATGATTCTGCGTTCATTTTTTATAAATAGTGCATACTTATCGAGAGCGCGCATTTTAGTCATGCAAAAAAAGTATTTTTTAATAAATTTCATTATGTAACCAGTTTTTTTTTAATTGAAAAATTCTAAATCATCTTGATAAGTACATGATTATATATTATAATTAAATTTATGCTTAATTGATAGAAGGCGCGTCGGAGCGCATATTTCAATCATGCCCTATCTTTCGAGACAGTGATAAAAGAAAAACATCTCTTAACTTATCAAACCAATATTTATTGATGGCTTAAAATTATGATCAAGGGCAGTGAAATATTAAAACATAATTATTAGAGAACTAGACAGCCCAAACCACTAGTGAAGATATCCAAGAAAATATTAGGCCCAACCCAAAAAATTTAGTTTACATATCTCAAAAATATTTTAGCTTTACGCATATTTATTTGGAGGAATCATATTTTATGGCCTCATATACAAGTTGCCTTACCTTCTGTCCTTCAAAACCAGGAATAAACATTAAAACAAATTTTAAAATTTGTCTACAATTTATTAAAGCCTTCTGGATTCACTTCCTTCCCAAGCATGATACTGAATTAAAATATTAATTATTAGAATGTTAACTATAAAATAATAACTATGTACATTGATTAAGATACCCCTAAAATTTTAATACTAATAATTGCATTGTAGTCTCAAGTTAGTGTTGCAATTTATATATTAAGTTCAAATTTAAACTGTTAACCTTTCAGTACTTCGGTGAGGTATACGAAATCCTGGGCATGCTAGAAAAGATATTGTATAAAAATGGTTAATTATGATCTGGATTCTTCAGTAGCTTTATAAAATATATTTTATAATCTATATTCCAAATTTCATAAATTTCGATTGATTTATAACATTTATGATTGATTGGGGTTTGTGAGACCCCATCATAGTAAATTTGTAATTTTTTTATTAATTATAAATATTTACTACTATATTATAAAATTTAATAAAACGAATTTAAATATCTTATATTTCAAATGAGATATATGAAATAAATAAACATTTTTTCTGGTGGAGTTATTTTATTTTCACTAGCTGACTCATTTCTCAAATTATTTTTATCATTTACTATGATTCTGAAAATAAATATAAAATTATCTAAGGTGTAATATTTTAATTGAGGTTATTGTGACAATGTAATAGTGAGGATGAATATTTTATGAGTGATCATGTTAAACAATCTGAATTAGATAAAGAGATGTTAGTTGAAACAGACAATAAGCTTAAATATTATTTAGGTAAATATGTAATCATTTATTATATTATATTTCTCTTTAAAATTAGCTAAAATAAGGTTACTAAATGGAAAAATTTTATAAGTAAAGAATAAGATCTCATCAACAAAATTTTGTTATTCATCTGCAGGAGTAAAAAAATATTAAAAAGAAGCAATACCCCAGAAAAATGTTTTAACTTGTTCATAACATCAAAAATGACCAAAGGGATTATTTATCATACCAATGAAAAAATTATAAGTAAAAACTATACTGAACAATATGAAAGTTCTAAGAAAGAAGTTGATGTAACAGAATTCAAGGCATTTCTGGTATTTCTTTATTTATCTGGATTTTTTAAATCTAACCATTAAAATATGTCGGATTTATGGAAATCTGTTGGGTTTGGAAAAGATATTTAGAGCAACAATGCCATTCAAAAAATTCAGCTTTTTAATACATACAATGAGGTTGACACTAACAAGAGAAGAGAGGAAACAACCCATATTAGAAATATTTTTCAAGTTTCTGTCATGTTCCAGATCTTATACAATTTCAGATTATGGAATCCTTGATGAAATGCTACATTCACATAGTACATGCATAATAAACCATCAAATTATGGCATAAAAATATACCATTTAGTAAATGTCAAAACATACTACACTACCAGAGACGCCATAAAAAATAGTAATAAACCAACAGATGTAGTCCTCTCCTCTTCTCCCTATATCTGGTTCAGGATACATTGTAACCATGAATAATTGGTTTACAAGTTATCATACTGCATTAAGCTCATTGCATACATATAAATTAATAATAATGGGCAGGTTAAGGAAGAATAAACCACAAATTCCATCATATTTGAAATTTTTAAAAAGTATATTTTTTTTAGAAAATGTAGACATAAATTATTATTATTCACATCATCATTAATCTAAGCTTTTAAGGTTAGTTATATTGTATATCCAATATCAAATCAAAATAATGAATAAGTGGATTGGGGTCTATTAAACCCCACTCAAATACTAACGTCATTTTTTTCACCCAATATAAATTAAAATTTACAACTAAAAGTATAAACTTTATTTTTATTTGCAATACATGATTTATAAAAAAATATTCTTCTATTTAATTATAAACAATGTAATTTGAAAAAATTGATTATTTTGAATTGGTAAATTCTCAAATGATATATTCAGGTAAATCTTGCATAGGATGTTATCTTAAATATGAAAAGAATATTAAAATAATCTAGATAATTAGGTATCAGGGTAACTATGACAAGCAATCATGAATTCTTGATAAAAAATTTTCATCATGTTTTTTATTTTAATTATATTACCTTTCTTTTGCAGGAGAAAGTGCTTTTGGTCCAGTTTCACATTAAATTATAATAGGAATCACATTAACCTATAACATTTATAAGTTTATGAATATTAAGGAAATATCAGAAAAAATTATCATCCTAATATCAGCCGAAAGATGGTGAATATTATCATCATAGCTTTTTATAAATTACCTCATAACAGCTTAAACATAAATTCATGTTAGATTAGCTTGAAATTGGCTCATATCCTCGTTTACTTTATAGAACTGTAAATAAATTATAATTAAAAATAAGGCATATTCTATTATTCAGAAATGTACTATCATCTATTATCAGTCCGCCCGTACAGATTCATCATAAAAATTTATTTCATACTCAATATATTTTTCATAAAATTTTATTTCATACTCAATATATTTTTCACAAAAATTTATTTCATACTCAATATATTTTTTTTCCGGCGGATATAAAATATGGATTGATGAATTATGAAATGGATATTTACATAAATATGTATATTATTAAAAATATAAATATGTATTAAAATATTTTTTAAACTTGATTGCAGTGGCGTAGCTAGGAATATTAAAATCTCGGCCGGGTTTATCTTACAAATCATAACCATATCTTTGATAATATATAATAAATATATTTTTTAAATGCATCAATAATATGTTATTATAATTTAGTAGATTATTCTCAATGACTTTATAATAATACCAGAATAATTTCAATAGTAATATAATATCCTTCCACAAACATCAAAACCAGAAAAATATAATTCATATAAAATCACTTTTAAGTCTTTTGAACGTATAATCTAAAAAAAAATTTTGCTCTGGGAGGGGTCCAAACCCGAAAACCACCCCCGTAGCTACGCCACTGCTTGATTGTATTGTCAGTTTGAAGTAGTCCATAAGGCCAATAAATTCCGATAATAAAAAATACTAATTATGAGTTAAATTAAAAGATTGGTTGTATATAAATTTGAAAATTTTCAAAATTAATCGTGATCATAAGAATAAAAAAATATCCTCATCTTTGTTATTTAAATTAATCGAATAATTATAACCAATGAAAAATATAATTGAAGTCAAGATAATCATTAATTTATTTATTTATGAATTGTGATTCGAAAAATATATTGCTCATTAAAAAAATGCTTTAATTAATTTATAAATGAATATTTTCGAAAATAAACTTCTTTTAATTTAAGAAGAATTAAAAAATAATGATTAAAATAAAAATATCTTATATGGTATCTATTTTTATTTCATGTAAATGCGTTCAAATAAATATAAATGGTATACATTGTTGAAGTTGACAAATATATGTAAGTACATTAAAATACTGTTCCATATATAAGTAGGCAGGCCCATATACCCCCCACCCCTTACCAAGTGAAGTTTTCTATATATATGCTAGTAATAGTTATAACAAATTTTGCTGATTTTATTTATCAATTCAAATCATATAAAAAAAAATTATTTTATTTAATTCATTTTTAATGCAACTATCTAACTAAAAAATTATCTCTATAAATACTTTTTCGAATTCAATTTAGTGAATCAAATTATTAATATTATGTCACGTGAAAGAAATAATATAATTAAGTTAATATAATATAAAATATGTTTGTATGTATTGTGTTAAATATTTAATATGTTAATATAGAACATGAATGAATAAAACAAATAACAATTTATGCTACACAACACCTAGTATAAATAAAATAATTATATATATAAATCCCAAGATTAGCAAAAAAAGGAAATCAATTAGCAAAAATGACAATATTCTTTTTGTCCCCCCCCCCTCCTCCTTTATGTAAGAAGACGAAATTAATTTTCTTCCCGCTGGTAAAAGATGATGACTATATATGTGTAAAGTTTTCTAAGAATAAATGAATGTTACGAGTTCAATTTTATTTAATTTAGAATAAATCAAAGTTACGAGTTTAATTTAATTTATTTTAAAATTTTACATCTATAAAACTAAAAATATCATGCTTATATAGCATGTTTCAAACAAAAAATCTATTTAATATTAATATAATAATTTATATAAAAAAATCAATTTTCACAATTTATAAGAAAATATATAAACTTTAAAAAAAAACAATTTAAAGGTTGTTTTAATCGGTCATATCAACATTCCTCCCTTTAAAAAATGATCTCCACTCAGGTTTTTATTGCATGTGAATCTTATCGTGCAGTCAATGTTTTTTGATGGTTATATTGTCATCATTAGTATATTGCATTAACTTTTGTTATTGAAAGTTTATTTAAAAGAAAAATATTTTATTATATTTATATTTTTTTTAGTCTTTATTTCATTATAAAATTATCAAATTTTTTGGGCAAAATTATATTCCTGCTTGGTCTTTGACTAACAAGACTTTGTTCTTGTATTCCTAAATTTTGATCATCATTTCTTCTAAAACTTACAGTAAAAGGTATTGCATTTTCAGTATTTGTTTTCAAATGTGTCGTTTCATCAAGAGGTGTGCTACTCGTAGACCTTTTTTTAATTTGGTCTAAATGTCTTCTAATAATTTTGTTTCCTGTATCTACTTCAAATATTAAATTCCCATTTTTACGTTTTACAGTGCCTTTGTTCCATATATTATCCATTAAGGTTTTATACCAAACTTTGTCACCATTCATTATATTTCTATTTGACGATAAATTGCGATTAAATTCATTCACTTTATCTTCTTGCGGTTTGATTAAATTCCATCTGGTTCTTATGGTTCTGTTGAACATCACTTCGCTTCATATATTGTTGGTTGTCGCGTTTGGTGAGTTGCGATAATTAAATAAAAACTTTTCTAAAGCTATATCTAAGTCTATTTTATTATTACTTTCCATATTCCTTTTCATGCATATTTTCATTGATCTTATCATTCGCTCACACTGACCATTGGACTGTTGGTGGTGAGGCGCTGTGAAAATGTGATCAATTCCATGATCATTACAAAATTTTTTGAACAAGCTACTTGTAAAATTCGTATCATTATCACTGACTATCATATCGGGTATACCAAACAAACTGATTATTTTTAATAATTCTTTAATTGTAGACTCAGTAGTTATATCTCTCATTCTTCTAATGATAGGAAACTTGCTAAATGCGTCAACACATACCAAGAAATTGCTACCTTCAAACTGTGCAAAGTCCGTGTGCACGCGTTCGAACACTTTTACAGCTGTCTTCCAAGGATTTTGTACATTATGAGGATTGTCCGCATACTTATTACACACGTATCACAGTTTCTCACCTCCTGATCTATTTCAGCGTTTAGACCAGGCCACCATAAATAATCTCTCGCCAACAATTTCGTTTTCCCTGCACCAAGATGTCCTTTGTGTAATTCCTGTAATATCTCCTTTCTCATATTTTTCGGTATAATGATCCTATTCTCTTTAAAAAGACAATCTTTAATTAAGCTCAGTTCCATTTCCATATTTTTATATATTTTATTCTTTATCTGTTCATGATTCTTTATATTGTTAATTACCTCCATTAATTCGATATCAATACTAGTTTCTTGAACTATTCTTTTAAAATTTATTGGTAAGTCCCAAAATTTGTCATCAATTATTTCATCATCTATCTCTTGTACCATTTCTTCTGTGTTCATTTGGGGTAATCTTGACAAACAATCCGGTACTACATTTCGTTTCCCGGGTCTATGAATTATCGTAAAGTCATAAGCTCCCATAGCTAAACTCCATTTTTGAAGTCGCATTGATATGGATGAATTATCCTTGAGTCCCTTAGTAAATATATAAACGAGTGGCTTGTGATCTGTGATTATTGTAAATCTCGTACCAATTAAATATTCTTGAAACTTTTTTACCGCGTATATAATAGATAAAGCTTCCCTCTCTATATTAGTGTAATTAAACTCTGATTTTAATAAAGCTCTTGACGCGAAAGCAATGGGTTTCTCTTTGCTATCACCTTCAATATGAAATAAGACTGCGCCTAGACCTTTCTTTGAAGCATCAGTTGTAATGCCTATTGGTAGATCCGGATTATAAAAATTTAACGTAGGCGGAGTACTTATCAGTTTTTTTAGGTCGTCGAAGCTTTCTTGATGTGTACTATCCCATAACCATTTGTCTTTATTAACCATTTTGTATAAAGAATCAGCGTCCGCAAAATTACATAAAAATTTCGTTAATAGCTCGCCATCCCTAAAAAAGTTGTCAATTCATCTTTTGTCTTCGGTTCCGGCATGTTAGAAATAGCTTTTATCTTATCTTCGTTGGGATGTATACCATGTTTATCTATATCATGTCCCAAAAAGGGTATTTTATCTTGCAGGAATAAACTTTTGTCGAAATTGGGGGTTAATCCATACATGATGATCTTTTCGAATACTTTTTTAATGTTCTCCAAATGTATCTCATCGTTATCACCTGTAATTAACAAGTCGTCAATGTAAAATATAACATCTTTTAAATCTCCGAAAATGTTATCCATAGTTTGTGGAATATTGCCGACAAAGTTTTTAAACCAAACGGCAGTCTCATAAACCTATAATAGTCCTTTAGTCGATATTGTAAGAAAATCTCTTGATTCTTTGTGCATAGGTATTTGGAGAAACGCGTTTTTAAAATCTATCTTGGTAAATTTCTTACCTTTAGATAATTTTGTAATTAAGTCATTAATGCGTGGTATAGGGTACTTGAAATCTTGTAAAGCAGGGTTGATAGTATTTTTGAAGTCGGCACAGAGCCGAAGTGAGCCATCGCTCTTATAAGCGGGAGTGAGAGGACTAGCCCATCTAACGTCTTCAACAGGTTCAATAATTTTATCGTTTACCCACTTTTGAAGCTCTTTTGTTATCAAATCAATTCTAGAATATGGTATACGCCTTGGCGGTATGATTTTCGGTGTGGCATCGTGTTTTAAACGTAATTTGACATAGCTGCGAAGCATTGGTTTTTTGTTAAGTTTAAAATTGCATTGCTTAATTAATTCTTGTATAGTATTATCATAATCATCCTCGACCATATTCACAAATTTATCTAATATATTCCCAAAAACTGTTATCCAGATCCTTCCTAACAGTGCAATCTTATCACTCTGGCTGGACTACATAAGCAATTAAGATTTTACTTTTGTCCTCGAATTTTGCCTTGACTTTGGTAGTTCCTAATACATTTATTGTGTTTCCATCATATCCAGTTAATTTAATATCTGATTTATTTAAGATTTTTACTCCAATCATTTTCGCGATATGAATCGATAGGATACTATACCTTGAGCCGGTATCAATCTGCATCAAAATAGGCATGTCGTTCAAATATACTGTAACCTTATATGCATCATTAGCTGTGTAATTATTATCGGTATCCATATTATTTATGTCTAAATTGTATAAATTATATTCTTTTCTTTCTAGTTTGTCATTATAATCTTCTTTTATCTCTTCTATATTTACAGTGTTTACTTTATT